AGAACTAAAAAGATGTTAGTAAATCAATATAGAGGCAGAATTTTTGAGGACTAGATGCCAAGACAGTTTTAACCCTGAATCGACAAGATATGTGAGATTATTAGTTAACCTCTAAACGAGCTCCAAGTTTTCATCTCAACATCAAAATCATTCAATAGATAGAGTTTTCTTGTAGTAATGATGTTTGGGGTAAAGTTTTGCAGGCTTTAAGTCACCATTGCTAAACATTTTCCCACTTCAGATCAAACAAGTCACCGCCCGTGTCTCAGCCGCCGATCAGGAGGCTCTTGAGGTGCACAGATGAAAATCATTGGCCTCGTGCCATCCAACTAGACTTAAAGCTAAATTAATAAATTTTGTGATAAGTTGCGTCAGAACATTTCCACTAAAGTTACCAAAAAATATCGTTGTGACTGCATTGAGGAAATCTCTCGCCTGGCGAACAAACTTTGAATAAGTCCTGGACTGGAATTTCTAAAACCGAAGGAATAAATTCAAAGGAAGGGTGCATAAATAGAAATGAATTTTCTTTCGTTTTTAGAAAGCAAAGAAAGCAAATTAAAATGAATCTATTAGCTGAGCTATTAGTGTTTTTCTCACTGCTTTATATAATATAATGATATTGGTTTTGAATTCGAGTTAGCATTTCAGCTGCTGTCAAAAGGTATTGTCTAGTGCTCCGAAAATCCAAAAAAACAATTTGATGTTTCAAAGTTTTTGATGTGAAATGTGATTGAGCCAAAGTAATGATTGTAATAATAATCTCTTTACCTGTCATCTTTCCCTTACGTCAACAACGTCATTCCACAAACGATGACCACCATGGGACAACTCTATCAGGTAAGAGGAAACAGAAAAGGTCTCTTCTCCCTTTCTAGTATTCTAGTTTCTAGTATTTCCCTCCCTTTCCCCTCTTCCGCATTTCTCTTTTCCACATCTCATTTCCCCGTCTTCTTTTCGATTCTCAGCGCATTTGAAAGGGCTTGTTTTGTGCGAGGCCAAATCATCCTTCCCAACACACAACCAAAGATGGATGGAGAAAGTGGGTATGATGAGGTGAAGATTCACGATGGATCGCTGAGTCCGGAAGAGATTGAGGCAAGGCAGTTGGAGGGGAAATCGAGAAGAAAATGCGAGCGACTTTTGGCGATGAGGCGATTGATAGGTTGGCGGTGAAATTTCGATGGGTTTTTGGGCTTGGGGTTTTTTGTTTTTGTTTACATTCGGAGTGTATTTCGGTTTTTCACGGACTAACAATGGCTTTAGAACATTGTAACACGATTTTTGCGGTGAAAATTGACTCACAGATCAGCTAATATTATCGAAATGGTGCCAGGAGATTGTAATTATCATAATTCGATTATCGCAATTGATGTTAGAACTCTAACAAAAGCTTTTCCTTTGATTAATTCAATTTGAAACACAAATCGGCTTCATTGCTGTCATTGCAGAAGCGAGTCATAAAATGCAGAAGCATTTTATGACATCGAATTTCCAAAATGTATTGTCTAGTGCTCCGAAAATCCAAAAACAATGTACAATGTTGTACCTAAGGTCCCAAATACCGAATATCAAGGCTTTATGGAGAAGTTGAGGCTATTGCAGCAGACTTTTTTTGAAAAAAATTTGATGTTACAAAGTTTTTGATGTGAAATGTGATTGAGCCAACTAGAGCTGGTCTGAAAGCGATTTTGCAGATTTTCCAACATTGTCAGTAACAGAGAACCAAGATAGTCTAGACTCCAATTCTTTTCATAGGAAAAAATAGGAAAAAGTTGTGTTTCAGAATTTATCTGTTATGAAAGTCTGTCTGTCTTGATTTTGTAGCTTAATAAAATGCTTGACCTAGGCTTGACTTGACCAGGGTCGTTTTGAAGGCAAGTTCAGAAGCCAAGACTGGTCTTGCCTGGCTTGGCTTTGCTATGGGTCTAGGTTTACTACAAGCTTGGTCCACAAAATCCCTTGCTCTGACTTCTGACCTGGTCTGACTTCTAGCTTACCAGCTTACCTGGTAAACCTGGCTTACTATGTAAGCTGGTAAATGGCCTGGCCTTTATGCCTCTGGACTAGTCTATGAGCCAAAGGCCACGAACTAATGACTAAATATTACCTGCTTTTCATGTTGTTTTTTCTCAGTCAATCTTTTATAAGATACATAATATAAGATTAGTGCTTTTTTAAAGATAAACACACCAAATTCGAACGAAAAAATAGATTTCGAAAGGAAAGCTAATATTTTTTGCACTCACTTGGCTAACATTGTTGTTGATTGATGAGGTTTTGTCGTCTTGCACGATCTCGACGACGATCCCGTCCAACTCGGAGAGACGACCCGTCTGAAACGTTTAAATTATGCTTTAGATTCTAGTTTATTTTTCAATTTTCAATAATTCTGAATAGTTTTTGATATCGAAAACTTGCAAAGGAATTGAGTGAAATCTTCAGCGAGTGAAATAAAAGTTTCAAATTTTTTGATCTAATTAAAGGGTCTGTTGGATTAATCGTCGTGGATCAATGAGTCGGAAAGAAATAATAGATGGAATCAATTTTTTGGTCTCTCAAATCTCATAAACAGCCCCTTTCCGGTGCACTCGATTCTTCCATTTCCCCTCGTGACACCGTTGTTGCGAGGGGAAATTGTACAGTGCGCCAGAAAGGGAGCGTTTACGGGATCCACGAGGAGATGCTTAACTAATCATAAAACGATCACCGACTGATTGGCTAGATTGAAACTTGAATCTTCCTGTTGCACTAGACAGTACTACCCGGCTTTCCAATACTGTTAGCATAGTTCAATTATTCACCACTTGATTTCATTCTTTCCCTCATCTTTCCACTACCTTCTTCTACAGTTTAAGGCTCATTTATTCTTACTTGCGTACAAAGTACAGCTGTACTAGTTAGAGCAATCATCAAACTGATCAAACAGATGATGTTTCAAAGAATTTCGCTTGCAAGTGTTCATAGAAATGTTAATGCAAAAACTTCATTTCCTAAGCAAGGTCAATAGTTCAAAAACAGTTTTGAAAAGCTAGGTTTCAAGTTAACGGAAGTAAATTCACGAGACGGGTGAACAATTCTTTGTTGAATAATTTCCCCACCGAGATTTTCCCATTCTCGTATCGATTCATCGAGTGTCTCTTATATACTGCCAATCGTGATCCCGGAGGCGCATCCACGGTTTTCCCTATAGATATGGTAAAATTTGGATCGGGCTAAATCTAGGCAACGAAATTTTGAGCGTAAATAATTTAGTGATAATTTAGTGTAAATTCAAAGATAGACTAGACTATTATAGCATTCGATAGCTCTGAATCTCCTCTTCAAAACTAATACAAAGTTATCGAGAAATTTCTGCGAAATAAATAAGAAAAACCCTTAAAAACTTGAGTTAACAAAAAATAATCGTTATTAACTTTGAAATTTTATCGGTTTCAAGTTATTGTGGGTGATGGTGTGGGTCTAAAGGTTAATAATCCCCTCATCAAAAAGCGAGCTAAAATCTAGAAATTCTCATTTACTTTTTACAATCTTTACAATATCTTTAAAGAAATTGAAGATTTTGTAAATTAGCAAACCTTGAACGAGTAGACGCCCATCTCCTCCAATTCGTGCTGGATCTCTCGCCAAGCGTCCTCTTTCGCTTTTGCTTTACCTAAAGATTTCAAAAATTGATTGAATTTTATGCAAAACTGCAAGAATTTTAAGATTAGATAAGTTAAAATTAAACCAAATTTAAATAAATAAAGCATTTTTCTAAATTAAACCTTGTTTTTAAAGTGTAAGTTTCAATTTAATCGGCACTAGAGCGGGATCTGAACAGACAATAATTTCTTGCGTGTTTAAAAATTCTAAGTTTCAACTGAAAGTAGATTGATTTAGGTCTTTGCTCGGCAGTTCTGAGAACGTTCTGAAAAAAGATTTGCGTATTATTGTTCGTAAATTCAAGTCTAGCCTAGAATTCCTATCGAATTTGAATCTTTAATCCTCCAACTGATTCCCGATTGGATGGGAAGCATTGGCTTTTTGGCTAAGGATTCTAATTCCCTTTAACTTTATTCTTTAGTTAAATTTAGGTAATTTTTCTTATCTTTAGCTTTTTATTTCTTTGTTAATTTGATTTAAAATCGAAATTCGTGATTTTGAAAGAAATGTTTCAAATTAGTCAACCCTTGGTTGACTCCAACTGATTTTGATTCAACATTGGCCTCGTGCCATCCAACTAGACTTAAAGCTAAATTAATAAATTTTGTGATAAGTTGCGTCAGAACATTTCCACTAAAGTTACCAAAAATATGCTCCAAAGACCAAATCTGTTTACTAAAATCCGTTTCAATGATGACTCAAAGCTTTTAAAAAATTCTCCAAATGATTGACTGGGGATAAAGTTGACCGTGAACTCGGCAAAAAACCCAATCGAGTGCGGCACAGAACGATTTGTGCGCGCAATCGACCGAGACCAATTATCCGCCAGACATTGTACTATGTTTATACAAAAAACAAAGTTCAAGACAAGCCGTTTTTAAGCGATTAATTAAATTCATAACTAAACTTTTGCAAAAAAAATATCTTCCCTAAATCTCAATAAATCAATAAAACTTTGTTTTCGTCTACATTTAAAACCAAATTCCATCATAAACACCTAGCTAAATTGGGGGTGAATCAGGAGTTAATTGTCCCAGGAACCAGTTTTGACCCCGATCCAATTGAGGGAATAAAGTGGGGTATGAAATCACTCTTCTCGGCAATACCGAGAATCAGATCACAACTTTGTTCAATCTGAAAAAATGAAATCTCTATTTGTGATTGCACTTCTTTTGCCAAACGTTGCCGCTTCAAGCCCCGACGGAACCCGAGATCACCGAGGAGGCCAAGCAGAAAATCGCTCAGGTGCTCTGTTGAATACTTTTTGGCGTACTAGAACTTTGTAGTGTTTTTACCGTCGCAAGCGACAGGACACCACTCAGCAACACGAATTCAAGAAGCCAACCGACGCTCAGATGACCGCCATCAATCAGGTTTTAAATGAAGGAAAGTTAGATTTCAAAAGGTACTAGGAAATAGCTCAATATCAACAAAGGAACCCGGAAGCTGGCAAGCTGGCCACTGAGGCGCAAAGCATCATGCGCAACGACACGATGACACCGAAGGAGAAAATGGGCAAAGTTAGTGGAGTCCTAGCTTTAAAGTGATCTATGAAACAAAATCTGCCCTAACTCTTACGAACTACTCAATTTTAGTTGCACGAGTTGCGCAACTCGAATACCGACGCCTCCGTTAAAACCGCCCTGCACGACTTCGAGGAAAAAGTCAAGTCGATCATCCACGGAACGGCTAACCAATGAGCTACAAGAGGATGATGATTTCTTATTGTGTTTTGCATTTTTACGATAGACTGATTAACTTTTTGTGCGTCTCACTCACTTGTCAACCGCTTCGCCGAGCTTTGCCTCGTATTCCTTGAAAGTCTCCGTGGCGGTCGCCTTCCTCAGCTCGTTTTGGGCCATTTGTCGCTTCAATTGCTCGAGACGTGTGAGGTCCTGAAAGAAAGCAAATAGACGCTTCAAATAAGGAAACGGGTGAATTTGTTGAATTGGGGCAAGTAGAAAACGAGAGAATTCGGGAGTTTCGTCACCGGCTCGTAGATCGGATAGTTCTGTGAAAGATTGATTGAAGGCTTCAAATTCCATCCAAATTCTTTTCTTTCATTCCTTTATTTGCTATGGCTGTAGGCTTTGTAGTAAGTTTAAGTAAATGAGTTGGGTATTTAAAGATATTCAGCTGAACACCTTTTATTGCGTGTTTAGCCTGTTGTTTGTTTTCTTGTTTTCCCTCGAAAAACGAGTTTTTCTCTTGAAATTGTGAAAATTTCCCAAGAAAATCTCAAATATTTCATAGTAAAGATTTGAAAAATGATTCCATCTTTTTGCTTGCTGTCTTTAAGCTATTTAATTGGACGAGTCAATTTCCTTGACTTCAGTAAATTTGAAACAAAACTTTATGGCGATCAAATATTTTGATAGAATTAATCCAAAGTGTGTAAAATCGGCATTCTTGGTGCAATCAAAATTGAAATTTAACAAATCCTTTTCAGAACACTTTCAGAATCTGAGGGAAGATGGGGATCCTCGAGATTTCATGGAGGCCTATTTGCGGGAAATGAAGCGGACAACTCGAGAATCCGCATTTTCAAGTGAGATTTCGCTGAAAATCGGCTTTGAGGTTATTATTGTTGAAACCTTTTCAAATTCAAATCTTCGGTACAAGTGCAGTGATTAAATTTTTGTGGCTTGATCAGTTCTTTGAATTAAGTAAAAGCATTCTTTTAAAAGATCTATCAAATCAATAGAGAAAAATAGGGTTGCGGATCGGTCGGGCCTTATTTTTCGTTCCCCGCACCAACAGTTTTCTTGACGATCTATCCTCTTATTTCCTTTCAATCTTACGATGACAAAATGTTTCAATGTTTCAAAGTATTCATGAATTTAAAAAAGATGGACCAATCATTACTTTGGCTCAATCACATTTCACATCAAAAACTTTGAAACATCAAATTTTTTTTCAAAAAAGTCTGCCGCAATAGCCTCAACTTCTCCATAAAGCCTTGATATTAGGTATTTGGGACTTTAGGTACAACATTGTACATTGTTTTTGGATTTTCGGAGCACTAGACAATACATTTTTGACAGCAGCTGAAATGCTAACTCGAATTCAAAACCAATCTCATTATATTATATAAAGCAGTGAGAAAAACACTATATATTACTCACGAAGTCAGCTAATAGATTCATTTTAATTTGAAACATGCTTTCTAAAAACGAAAGAAAATTCATTTCTATTTATGCACTCTTCCTTTGAATTTGAAAGACATACAACGAATTCTTTGGATCATAAAGGGTGTCATAAGCATGAAAAAAGTTTCCAAGTTTTTCCAGAAACTCGACACTCAAACGCCCCACAGGATCTGATCGTCAGCTACATTTCCCGACCCCACAGCGATAGAATTTAGGCGACGCTCTCGGTGCAATACTATTAGAGAAAATCCGGTAAGCATTCGGTCCTAAGAACAAATTACTAGTTTACACTTTTCAAATCTCCAGCTAATCCCTTTGAAACTTGAGCTTTTTAAACGTAAAAAGGAAAAAATGGCGCAATAAATCTTTCGCTTAGCTGTTTATGGCAACGGAAAAAAAAGAAAAATCCCGTAATTTAAAAATATTTCAGAAAATTTAGAAAAACTTTTTATTTCAAAACCAGAGTAACATTTTTTAAACGAAAAAAATCAAAATTCTTCTCGCTCAATGGATATTCTGGTTTTGAAGAATTTTGAAACTTGATTGAAAAAAGGCTTTCTATTTTCTAGGATTGAAAAAAGGAAAAATGCTTAAAAAACTAGTTTAGCGCTATTGTTTAACAATTATTTTTATAGAAAAGCTAATTTTTAAAAAACTACTTTCAATTTTCATTATTTTATTCACACAGATTTGAAACATCACTCTGAAATTAGGATTATTTAATGATTTGCCATAAAAAAGCTGAAAAGCTGAAAAAAGAATTGAATGCTCGGATGGGGCTGCTTCACCGAGATAAGTCTTTGTCGGTGCATAAGTACCTTTAAAAGCTTTCTAAAGTTTTCGCTTTGAAACAAGACATACAACGAATTCTTTGGATCATAAAGGGTGTCATAAGCATGAAAAAAGAATTCTGATTTTTATTAGAATCAAAGTCTCTATTCTCTGAAAAATCAGTTTCACTTTTGATAGTGTTAACTCGGATTGCTTCGATTAATGACGCCTTCAAATGAATCTAGTAGAAAGAAAATGGCCTTGTGGCTCTTAAGGGCACAAATTTCGGGTAGAAATTCTTTTGAAATTATTTAATTAGCTAATTTTATTTAGTATACAAATGTAAGTCTTTAAAGTCATCTACAATGAAAAAAACCCTTTTGAGAGATTTTTAAAGTCAATGATTCAACTTCTCTCACTAAAATTCCTATTTCATAAAGTTAAGCTTCCCCGATTTACTCTTTTCTTAATAACTTAACGGGAAATGCGAGAAATTAAGTGCACCAAAAGAATGTGTTTACAGGCAGTATTCGGCGAAGAGCAACAAGAGCATAATTCGAAGAGCATTCGAAGCGCACCCCTCTGTATGAGCTCAAACAAAGTTCTCCTCCTCTCGTAGCTTTCCCAACCTCCCCTCCAAAAAGGTCTCTTCTCCCCTTCCGTAGTTTCTAGTATTTCTCTCTTCTCCCTTTCTAGTCCGGATCGGAGATGGGCGTCTCCTCAGATTTGGACGCAACATATATATAGATAGATATATACTTTACCTGAGATAAAGTGTGCTAGATTATCCAAAATTATTCCCTTTACCTGTCGCCCTTTCTTCTTCGCTCGTCAACGTCATTCCACAAGCGATGACCACCATGGGACAACTCTATCAGTTTGCCAAGAACACCAAAAGAATGTGTTTACAAGGTATTCGAGTTGGGCATTTCAGCTGCTGTCAAAAATGCATTGTCTAGTGCCCGAAAATCCAAAAACAATGTACAATGTTGTACCTAAGGGGTCCCAAATACCGAATATCAAGGCTTTATGGAGTGAAGCTGAGGCTATTGCAGCAGAGACTTTTTTGAAAAAAATTTTGATGTTGGCAAAGTTTTTGATGTGAAATGTGATTGAGCCAACTAGAGCTGGTCTGAAAGCGATTTTCCAGATTTTCCAACATTGTCAGTAACAGAGAACCAAGATAGTCTAGACTCCAATTCTTTTCATAGGAAAAAATAGGAAAAAGTTGTGTTTCAGAATTTATCTGTTATGAAAGTCTGTCTGTCTTGATTTTGTAGCTTAATAAAATGCTTGACCTAGGCTTCGACTTGACCAGGGTCGTTTTGAAGGCAGTTCTGTAGCCGAAGACTGGTCTTGCCTGGCTTGGCTTTGCTATGGGTCTAGGGTTTACTGTGCCATGCTTGGTCCACAAAACTCCTTTTTTGCTTTCTTGGTTCTTATTTCTAACCGGTTGCTTTTAAAAGAAGAGAAAAGCTGATGAATTCACAAAAAAAGATCGAAAAAAAGCAAAAATTCGAGATATCATCGCTTTTTGGCTATCTGCCATGGGGAAAAGTGATAATCTTTTGCATAATGCATAATGAGCATTTCAAGAACAATTTTTTGAAACTCAATCTTTAAAAAAAAGCATTTACAAGTTTAAATAAACATAGAAGTGGTCCAAAATTGGGCTGATCAAAAGGAAAACTGGCAGACGGAATACGTACGTGATTTCTTTATGGCCTGCTCACAAAAAAACGAAAATTCAACTAACAGCGAGGATTATAGCAAAATGGTAAATCACTCTTTGGGCTGGAGAAACTATGCACCGTGAGCACATCAAAGAATAATTTAAAACACAGTACTACTTACCCCTCCAACTCCTCCAGCTGATCCATTTTCTAAAAGGTATTCCAGTCAAAACTACCGTAATCCCGCGCCAGTTTTTCTTCTTTCTTCTTACTTCTTTCTTTACTTTACTTCTATGTTTATTTAAACTTGCAAATGCTTTTTTTATCATTTGACTAAGCCTTATGATTCCCTCATCGAATTTTCGCCTTATGACCCAATTTTAGTCAAATTCGACTGAGGGAATCATAAGGCTTAGTTAAATGACGCTGGATTACGGTAGTTTTGACTTCGAAATGGATGAGCTTTAGGTAAGGATTGTGGGAGAAAATCCAACCCTGAACACTACGAAAACCAAAACCACTCAAGCCAACTTCCAAAAAAGTTGAAACTCAACTTTTCTCAATGCCTTTTTAGTACGCTGCTTTCTCCTCGACACAAAGAGGTGTGGCTAATTTTCTCATCAAAAAAGTGATGTTCTTTCTCTTCCTCCTCCGCACACTTTTTGTCGTCTTTGTCGTTCGGAGATTCTCTTTTCAAGCCGTTTTTGCATGTAAATTTGTCTCTTTGCCTTTTTTGTCGCTTATCTTCACCCGTTTTTGTCAAGTTTTGCGGCCAGCCATGGAAATGGATACGGTAGATCGGATTTTCGGGGTCAAATTGGAAGAATTTGAAACATTTAAGAGCTTTAGGAGCTTGGGAATGTAAAGAGCTAGACGATTTACCGTAAAAATAGATAGAAATGTGAGAAAATGAAATGGTTTCCTTTACCCTTTAGTAAATAGAAAAAAGAGAGCTTAATTCTTGGTTCATCAATTATAAGACTTTTAAATTTGATAAATCAACTTTTTCAAAGATTTCAAAGAGTTTTACGCTCATTTCTTCAAGCATTTTTCAAGTTTAAAGCACAATGCAAACGATTAAAACTGTAAAAACTTATTGATCAT